GGCTTGGCCGAGGTACTGGGTCTTGCTCCCAGGAGACACGAGGTTCATTAAACAGGACGGGAAGCGCTTCCAGGTAGGGAGCACCGCTGTCAGAGTTGGCGGGACATTTGCCGTCACCCTATTCAGCCTCTTGTGGGAGCCAAGCCCACGGACCCACAGACTGGACTCTGGAGCTGCTTGAGGGAACTGAGGCACCAGTGTATGTGGGTGGGTATGGGCAGGAGGGGCAGAGGCAGCCACAGAGGCCTGGAATTTGGAGCTCCAATCTCCAGAGGACAGGACCAGAAAGGCCATCACAAATCAGGTCCCATCATGACACAGGGAGCCTTCTACTACCTACCTGACCTAAAGTGGACCCTGGGGCAGGCACGAGCGTGAGCACAGTCTTCCCCACCACGTGACAGTGCTTGAGTTTCTGTTTCCACCACTGCAATGGAGGCTCTGAGACCAGACGTCATCATGTAGCCTCACCAGTTACAAGAAGAAGGGAAAGGACGCCCAGTCTGTGTGGGGGATTACAGGGCAGGGAACGGATTCTGGGTGTGAATGGGCCTGATCATGCCTAGCGACCGCCTGGCCAAGTGTGCCTGGGTTACAGGGCCCATTGGTCAGATTACAGGGTCCATCTGTGTAGACTTCATGTTCTCTGCTCAGGCAATGGGACTGGGCCCAGCAGGAAGGCCAGGCCCTGTCCCCCCGTCCTCACACAGGTCATGAGGAGGTGCCCAGGTTCATCTGTTGGGCTGCTAGACTCTGCTATACTTTCCTCAGCTCTCAGAAAACCAAGATGAATGCCCCAGTAAGTCCCTGTGAAAATGGACACCGATTCCTTGTGAAGGATAGGAGGCTTAGGGGAGGACACTGGAATGCTCCCATTGCTAAGTAAGCATGATAAGTAATGTGTGAGGGATCTGGGCCATACACTGAGGCCTCTTTTTACAGTGAGGTATGAGGAGGCTGAGGAGGATTGTAGAATCTTTCTGCCTGGATGAGCAGCTCCACTAAACCATCTAAACTAAACCAGCTCCACCATTACCAACATGTACCTCAGATAAGGTATTCAAACTTAAAGAGCCTCAGTTTCCTCATTTGTAAAAAAAGGATATTGGCGCCATGTACTGGACGCTCCAGTTCCCTGCCATAGCGAGCGAAATGGGCCCCTCTACCCACTGGGCCAAAGGACCCCTGGAGGCCAGGGCTTCCCACCTTGGGCTGCGGGCAGTCTCTCCTGGTCACTGTTCTTTTGCCAACCCCCATCCCCCATTTCCCAGCACACCAATAAGTGAACATTTTTTTGCTGATCTCCCATGCTTACCTATCCCTGAGCTCACTTCTCTGAGCAAAGACAGAAAGCAGACTACCATCCTGTCTCCTAGACTGCTCTGTCTAGCTACATCATCCAGTCATCAAGTTTTCTCGGCCCCACGAATCCCCTCTGTGGTAGCTCACTCTGGAACTCCTGTGTCCTCGGTTTCCAGGAATGTCCTTCACCTGGGATCCTCCCCCTGGATCTGGTCACTCCTTTTCTTTCCTTGCTTTTTCTTTTTTAAGAGTAGGGAAATATACTGGGGGAAAGGAATGGGGAATAGGAACAGGGAATAGGAATGGCGAATAAGAGCTCCTGAGAGACAGAAGGGGTCCTGAATGGGTTGCCCTCCTTTTCTTTCTTGGTGGCGTTTCTTCTTCCCACAGTGACCTCACCCTCCCCTCCCCCTGGGCACTGAAGGTTCCTTTATTTCCAGCCAAATCTCTCCCCAAAGCAGTAGTGGCACACATCCCGTTGTCTAGTTAACATACTTTGATATTCAATAATACTTTGGACTTGAAGGGCATTAGGAGGACATAATACAGTGAGGCCTGCAGAGTTCCCAGCATGCTGCCTGGTTTAGTAGATGCTTAGTAAAGGTAGATATGATGATGATTATGATTTGCAGTTTGACCCTCAGTGTCATCTTAATAGGCAGGAACACTGATTTGAAAAGAACAGACAAAAGCTCCCTCCCAGGAACCGAAAAGGGGATTGAAGATCTTCCCTCGTCCTCTAGAAAACCACACCGATCACGGCAGGCCAGCCATTCTAGGAACCAGTTCTTAAACTTGATCTCCAAGTCCCCTAATTAATTAATTAGTGTTGCAGTGATTACTTCTGCTGACAGCCTTGGTGACTTTTGGCAAGGTTGGGTCAGCCCAAGCAAGTCCAGACTTATTAAGGCAAATCCCACTGGCTTCTAGGATGTGAGACATGATCCCTGTATGGCAAGAAGAAGCATCTTGTTAGAATTAATTGGGAGGATGAATGGGGGAACATGAGGTTGTCTCAGCCACTGGCTGATGGCCTTAGTACTATGGGTCACAGACAGGCCTCAAAATACTCCATAATGCCCAGGGTAGCCTGCATCCTTCTGAGATTGACATGACTGAGCAGGTAGCCCTGAAAATCACGCTCCTACCCTCCCTTCCCAGGGAGCAAAGACCTATTAGGCAATGACTATATTCTTCCCCATCTAGAGAAAGTGGTTTGGGTTGTGGTAAGAGGATGTTGGTGAGATACCCAGAAAAACTATCTTCTATGCTTATTTAGACAGGGATGGGCATCAGAGAAGTTGGGCTTTGACAGGGAGCCTCTTTGAGGCAGAGTAGCTGCCGCCGGACCACCTCTCTGCACTGGGAACGGGGATCATGCCTCCACAGTTTCCTCACTTTGGCACCTGGCTTCGCTGACCTGGGGCTGGCCCCATGGCTGCTTTGGGCCTTCATTTCCCAGCAGAGCCAAGAGACCTGGAAATCCCTGCAGCTGGGATAGGCTCTGATTCAGTGTCCTGGGTTTTTCTGCCCTGGGTTCCTCTCCTTACAAGTTCCTGAAGCTCTAAACTTCAGGAACTGTGCTACAAGTATGTGGGGCGCTCGGAACCTCACCTAGAACCTTGGACTCAGACTGATTGCACAGAGACAAACAAGGACTCAGGGAGTGTCAGGCCCAGCCCCTCAGGGATACAGATCCCAGATATCGCTGAGAATATTCTTCCTGTCTTCAAAACTTCTAGGTAACCTGGCATCCAGGCTGAGCATGCTGGATGGGAACCAGCTCCCTCAACCTCAAGGGGCTCAGAGGGTCCACCTGCCCTTGGTCACACTCACCTGGCTCTGTCTGTACCCATACTGGTTTTATCCTGGATAGGGGGTGGGAAGGGTGTCCCTGTCCTCACAGCAAAGCTGAGCCCTGCAGTATGAGGTAGGTGCTGGTTGGTATCACACACCAGGTTCCTACCCTGGCTCGCCTTGGATGGGATCCTCCAGGACCTGGGCCTGGAGGCTGAGTCTCCACCTCCTACTCAAGGCCCTAGGTCCAGTCCTCACCATCCTGCCCCTATTGTCGCCTTCCCTGACTTCCCTTCAGGCACTCTGGCCCCTCCTACCACTTCTTGTGGCCCTTTTCTGAAGCACAGTCAATCCTGAAATCGCAAACGCAGAGTGTCCCTGTCTGACACAAGCTCCCCACTCCCCACCCCTGTGCTTCTCATGGGCCCAGCTACACCACACACCACAATCATTCTTTGCCCCCTTTGCCTGGCTTCCTGCTCATCGCTCAGCCCCGCTTCACCTGCCCCTCACTTTTGCCCTGTCTGCTAAAGTGGGTAGGGGGCTCATGCTCTGCCGAGGCTGACCCCTTGTCTGTGCGCTGGTTCCCTCCCTTCTTCCTCACCACGTTCTCAGTTTCCCTCCTGGGACTTCCCTTTTCAATTTACACAAGTTCCAGTCCCTCCTATTTAAGCAATGACTAAAAGGAAAAATTAAATAAATACAAGCTCTCTGGATCACGCATCCATTCTAGCTGTGGTTCTGTTTCTTTTTCCTCCATACCAAGCCTCACCTCTCACTGGGGCGCCACCCCTTGGGTACAGGGTTTGCCTCTATTGCCTGAAGGATAATTGGTGCTCCTCAACCTCAAGGGGCTCAGAGGGTCCACCTGTCCTTGGTCATACTCACCTGGCTCTGTCTGTACCCATAGTGGTTTTATCCTGGTGGTCTCTACTTCTGTCCCTGAGCCCAGCCCTCTCTGTTGAATTCCAGACCCACAGCCAACTCCCCACAGAGCATCTCCATTTGCATCTTGCATAGGCTCCTCACACCCATGGGTCCATCCAACTCAACATGCTGTCCTCCTTCAACCCTGCCTCTCCTTGTGTCTCCATCTTGTTAAGTAGTACCTATATTTGCCTTCTGCTTTCAAAACCAGAAAGCCAGACGTGCATCCTGCCAGCTCCCTTCCCTCCCACCACAGGCAGTTCTTCAAGAAATCCTGATGAAGCGGCCACCCAACTCTCGCCCAAAGGGCCCACTTCTCTTGATGCCCACTGCCAACAGCCCGGTCCAAGCCGCCATCATCTCTCGCTGGACGCCCGCCACAGCCTCCTGATGGTTCCTTCTCCTCCAGAGCTCCAACCCAGCCTCACGACACAGCTCTGGGGACTGTTCAAAATCAGGAATCTGCGGTCCTGCTTTGGACAGCCCTCAAAATAACATTTACCTTCTCTGCTTTGGCTTCCGAGTTCCCTACACCACCTAGCCCCAGTTCTCCTTACCTGGCCAGTCGCTTCTCACGCCACTCTCTGCTCTTGGGACATGCAATGCGCCGCTTCCCCTCAGCACCTCCACACCACCTGATCGATCTCTAGCTCATGTATGCTTCACCCCTTCTCACCTGGCCAGCTCCAGCCCAGGCTCCAGGCCCCAGCGAACTGCCACTTCCGCGGGGCTGTCCCCTCCCATGTCCAGCTCAGTTTCTCCCATTCTAACCCTCCCCTAACTTCATTTGCTAGTCCTTGTTTCATCCTTGTGTTCACTGCTGGACCTTCAACTCTGAGAGGCCACCGCCTGGCCAGTCTCACAACTGTAATCCTAGTGCCCACCACAGTACTAAGGAGTCAGCACTGGGTAAGTCTTTGGTAATAAATGACCCAACTGCACCCCTCCCTTCCCTGCCCTTGACCCCCACTGACCTCTGACATCTGTGGGAAGAGGCTAATAGCCAGCGGCAGGGCCAAGCCGAAGGCTGCCAGGCACACGAGGCTTTGCACGGGCAGGAGCAGCCGGGGGCGCGCCTGTAGGAGAGCCGTCCTGTGGGGCAGAGGGAAGGAGGAGCCCGTGAGGCTTGAACACTTGAAGATGGTGTGGGCTGGCTACTGGCCACCCTGCTGGGTCCTACTCAGTCTCAGGGCGGGGGCAACCTGGTTCTGTGGCCAGTGCCAGCCCCTAGCTAAACAGATGTAGCGGAATTCTGCCTTTGGGGCCAACTCCAATCGCCTCTCCTCTTCCCAGGCCCAGTCATGAAGGACAATGCTGATCGAATCTTCAATTACTCAAACCATAAATGAGCACTTATGGGGTTGCCAGTAGCCACCCACCGTGTCCAGCCTTGTATCAGGAAGGTCACATGTATGGGAGACAATAGAAGGGGCTGTTTGTCCCTGCTGCTGGGGAGACATGGAGGAGACAATTAAAAAGCAATCAGACCATACCATCCAGCAGAGAAGACAAAGCACACACATACATGCTCACACACATGCACGTACATAGCCCAGAGGGGGTGGTCCCATCCTATGTGTGGGAGCAGAAGACATCCTACTGGCCACCTCATCAACTTCAATCCAAGAGCCAGAGAGAGCAGCAGGGGCTTGCCCAGGGTCAAGGCCAAATCTGCTGCTGCCGCCTGGACTCATGATTCCCTGTGAATGCTGTTACCCCAAGCTGCTCCTGGCCCCCACATTCAGGACCTTTTGCCTCATCCCCTACATGGCACAGCTGGCCCCACTCCCTGTGGCAGGCTTTGGAGGTGAGTTCCCTGGGTGGGAGAGGAGCATGAAAGCGCTCCCTCCAAGGCCCTGGGTGTTGCAGCTCCAAGACTAAATGAGCTCCCCAGACAGTGGGGACCATACCAGTTGGCAAGTGCACCTTTACCACGCTCACCAGAGCTTTCCATGGCGCATGAGCCAGCAGGGCCCATAGTGAAGACCACAGCATTCCACTTGGTGGGAGCAGTGGAGGCACGAGGGACCCAGCATGCTGCAAAACCGGACTATTTGCTAGGGGTTGTTAAGTGAGCACTAAATCTGACCTCTGCATCAGCCTCCATGTGACAAGCTCCTGGTGTGAAGGGGACACAATAGGGACTCTTGCCCCCACCCACTGGAGCATCCCTGGTGTGAACATAGGTTGGAGGCCTCTGATATGGTTTGGATCTTAAATCCAAACTCACAGACCCATGTGTTAAAAGAGTTAGTCACCAGTATGGTGCTACTAGGACGTGGTGGAAACCTTAGGAAGTGGGGCCTAAAGCCAGGTGTGGTAGAGCACACTTGTAATCCCAGTTAATCAGGGGGCTACGGCAGTCAGTGGTAGAGTGCTTGTCTACTACATACAGAGCCCAGTGAAAGGTCTTCAGGTCACTGGGAACATGCCCTTGAAGGGAACAGACACCAGTCTCCCTCTCTCTCTCCCTTTTTCTCTCTCTCCCTCTTTCTCTCTCTTCTTCTCTCTCTCTCTCTCTCTCTCTCTCTCTCTCTCTCTCTCTCCCCACTTCCCCTTTCTGTTTACTAGCTGGCAATAAGAGGATCAGGTTTGCTATTTCAGCTACTTCTGCCATGATATGTTTCCTCCACAGACCACAGAAGTAGGGTGAATCAATCATGGACTGAAACATCTGAATCCATGAGTCATTATAAACCTTTTCTCTTTATAATTATCTGAGGTATTTGTTACAGTCATGGAAAGCTGACTAACATAGCCCCCTTGGGCCAGGTCCACACTATGAGGGCAAGCAACCCTCATCTCCTTTCCTAGGACAAGAATCCCTAAAACACCTGGCCCTGAGCCAACAACAAAATTAGGAGCTGAGTTCTCAGACTTTTGTGTGTACTGGAATGGTTTAGGCAGCTGGTTAAAAATGTAGACTCCCAAGGCTCCTTGCACCCCAAGAGTCTGATTCCTTTGGTAGTGGACCTACGAATTTGCATTTGAAACAACTCTTCTGAGTCTAAAGTAGGTGATTCCAGGATCGCGCTTCCAAGAAACCCTGTCCCAGGATGCCTCTGCTCAGATAGCAATAAAAATTCAATTACTTAATAATTTTACGCAAGATAAAGGATCAGTCCCTGCTTGGGCTTCAGTAAGTGTTCTGTAATTGTGTCACTATTGCTGTAGTTATTGCCTGTGTCACATGCAGAAGGAGTAAGAGCATGGTGGCTGAGCTGTCCTCTCCTCTTTCACATGGGTACAGACTCAGATTTGTCCAGATGTCAAATTAAGCCTGAGTTGAGCTATAGGAGAGGAGACTCCACAGGATCAAGACCATGGAGATGCGGTGCCCTATCTTTCCTTCTGGTCCATGTCAGCTCCAAACCTTCCCTAGAGTCAGCTGAAGGCCTCCTGGGCTTCCTTAGGAATCATGGAAGGACTGGAAAAAGGGTAGGACCAACCTCGAGTTGGCTTTCAGCTCAGATCCACTTCTCAAGCACAACTAGGAGGGTGGAACACATGGCCTGCTCCCTACAGCAGCACACAAGCTGTGCAAAGCAGGGCTGCCTCCTGTTCCAGTGGCAATGACAGGAGAGTGTGATGTTCCAGGAGACACCCCTAAGAGTCTCTGAGGGCAGGGAAGAGTGACAGAAGAAAGAGTAAAATTCCCTTCAGGGAGGTGAGCGGCAGACCTTGGGCTCCCACCTTGGAACTTCCAGAGTGGCAGAGAGCATTGCATAAATCCCCTTATATGTGGCCTGTGACTTGGGCTCTTCTCTCAAGGTGGCTGGCTGCAGTCTTCTGTGGGTAGGGAGCCCAGAAAGTCCCAGGCCTGTGCTCCCAACTTAGGAAAGAGGCAGGCCCAAGGCTGTAATCAAACTGAGCACAGAAGCACTCTCAGCCCCAAGCAGGCAGCGTGAACACAGCAGGGCAGGGGGAGGGGAAAATGAAAGGGAAATGGCAGGGAGGGATTGGAAAGGCAGCTGGGGGAGTTAAAATATGCAGATGGAGAGATGTGCAAATGCCTGGAGAAAGGAAAGACCCGGATCCCAGTGAAGGAAGGAGGACAGGGGAGTGGACTCAGGGACCCACCAAGGTTGTGGCCTGGACCCCCACCCAACTTTGATCCAGCCTGCATTTTCCAGAGGCATCCCAGAGCGCAGGAGTGAGCTATGGTCTTCCAGATGCGGCACAGGTGCTGGCCTCTGAGGTGGAGAGATTACATCTAGGGGGCTCATCCTAGCCCTAAATCAAAACTCAGCTTCCACCCTGGGGAGCTAGAGGATGCAAGGATGCAACCTGTGTACACCTGTGCCCCCTGAGGCAACCCAGCTCTGGGCTGCAGGTGAAGGCCCCCTGTACTTCTTACTGGAGATTTTTCCTTTCAGTCTCAGAGCCAAGGACTATGGGGCTTGCAGCTCCCACCTCTCTTACCCTAGCAGGAAGCCCTGGATCCTCAGCTCAGAGTGCTCCTCCTAGAGATGATAAAGTGAGGCCAGAGGCAAGCAAGTCAAGTCCCAGCCCTGCCACACAACAGCTGGTCTCCCCCATTGCTGTGCATTCCTTCAGCACTTGGAGCGCAGTTTTAATTTTCGCTCCATTAATTTGCAAGTAGGCTGCTTTGTAAGTGTTCTTTTGTCTTTTTTCTCTGGCTGTCCGGACTCCCTCACCCATCCTGGGCTCCACAGGGTGGGGACTGCCTCCCCTACCAGCATCTTCAGCAGAGGGCCCCTGAACCCTAGGACTGTGGTATGCTTGGCGGGGCTCCGTAATGGACCAAAGAGGTTCTGGATGGTGTGAAATGCAAAGCCCCAGTGAACACAGTCCTGTTTCCCAGGGAGAAACTAAGGTTGACAGAAGTTTGGGGACCACAGCCAATTGGCAGGAAATGGTGAGGCAGGAGCCTAGGTTTCATTTTCCTACCAGAAGTCTCAGCTTACTTCACTGCCTTGCCCTTCCTCTCTTACTGCCCAGTCCTGCAGTGTATGTGTGAGATTAGTAAGTCTTTAGGGGGTGCAAACCAGGTCTTATTCATCTCGATATTCATGGAGCAACTTGGGCTAGACTCTTTTCTTCTCCCCAGAGACTCTCCCTGGAGCTCCAGGTGGAGCACCAAACACCTAACCTCTCACCACCCTACCCAGTGGATCCTTTGGACCCTGAGCTGAACCAGATCATGCAGCACCCAGGACATTAACTACATTCCAGTCTGTGGAGGTTAAGAACTACCCATACCATACCACTTCTCAAGACTGCAGAAGCCAAGTTCAAGTTCCCAAACCAATGGGACACTAACTATAATTCCACTTTCTGCAAACTCTACTCAGATGCAAAGTGAGAAGGCATCACAAGCTTCCTGCAAAGGACAGGCTCCTGGATGGCCTTGGCTGAACCAGGTTTCCACCTCTTCCTACTTCCTACTTCCTACTTCCACCTACTTCCATAGTAAGTAGGATAACTGTTGAATGTGCTAGGACTGCAGCATCCTGAGATAAGGAAACTACAGCTGGGGCTCTGTTCCCATTCCTCCCAGCACAGGATGTCCTGCAATGCTTTAGCCCAGCAATCTCAGCTTCCCAGGGGTATAAAACCCACGGCAGAGTGCTTTCTGGGTCCCTCAGCTGCAGTGTGATGTGGACCATGGGTAGATGAGACTCCATTCTCTCTGAATGACTTTCTTAAGCCTTCAGGGACCAGCTTGCTGTAAATCTTGGGTTGTCATAGTCCTTTGATGCCTATCTGTGAATACCAAAGTTTCTTTGCTTGTCGTGTAAGTGTTCTATCTCACCAGAATCATGCAAGGGACCAGTGACCAGTGCACAGTGAACCTGCCTCACAGTTCCAAGGTTCAGGATTCAGCAGCCTTGAAAACATGTGCCTCCTCATTTTCTGTGTGCACTTGCAGTGGCTGGTTTTTGGGACAACCTTATTTCACAAGGGAGCTAGATACACAGCTCAGGTGCACAAAAGAGATTGCCCTCCTAAGATCTGTTTATTTTAGGCTTTAGCATTTCCATACTGGATGAATTTTCTTCAATCTGTGTCCAACACACCTTGCTCAGGGACCAAGAGGCATTAACCTTTCCTAGGGTGAGAAAGATGATCTCAGCCAGCTGCACAGGGTCTTTTATCTGCTGGCCCCAGTGATATGCTTTGCTTTGGCCAAGCTGGACTCCACAATGTCTGCAGAACTGGCCTGCACTCTGACCAGAGAGCCCTACACCCTGACCAGAGAGCCCTGCCTTTTGTAAAATCTCCTGTCTTGCTCTCAGCCATCCCCTCCTCACCATCACCCACACAAGCCAGGGCTCTAACCCTCAAGTTTCCCTCCACTTAGGGCTCTTCCCTGCTCTGTGCTATTCTCCTAGGTCTACCTTAGACCTCAGGGTCTAGTTCCTTCCTCCCTCTCTGCTCAGGCTCTGTCTGCAGCACCACTTCAAACCTCACCTTTCATTTTCACACTCATTAATTAATAGAACATCTCTCTCTCTCTCTCTGCAAATCAAACTCAGGGGCTACATGTAAGCTACATCTCCAGCCTCTTTTTTATTTGAAAGAGGACGTCACTAAGTTGTCCACGCTGGCCTCAAACTTGTAGTCCTGCAGCTTCATCTTAGTATCACATTCCTTTATTTCTTTATGGCATGACAGATATGTACCCTCAGACCATCCCTCTGAGGGAGGCAGGGAGGTTACCCATGGTGAATGCCTGCAAGGAATGATGCTGGCCCTACATTCAGGCTTCATACCAGAGACCTCAGATTCTGTCTTACAGTGGTCCTGTACCATTCACTAGGAAAATCTGTGTACACACATGGATGCATGGGTGCACACACACGTACACACTTTTCTGTGGCCATCCCATAGTACCTAGCACACAGCCTGCATAGCAGAAGTCCACAAATTCTCACAGAACCATTCCACCCCCACTTCCTGGGAGAGTCTGACAAAGAGCAGGATATTTTCCATCCCTGAAACAAACTAGCCAGCTGCTACCAGCTCCCTTGTCCCTTCCCTTAGGCCCTTGGGATCCCCACCTCCCACCCTTCCCTTTGCCCCTCCGTTCCAGCTGCCCAACTTACTTCTCCAACATGGACATGACAATTGGGGGGAGCACCAGGATGGGCATAGGCAGGACCACTCGAGTCAGTGCTGTCTCCAGCAGGGCCTGTGGGGCAAAACAGGCTGCAATGAGAGGCTTCTGGGGTGAGGGGCAGCCACCCGGAAGCACACCCTGCCCTAGAGGTCTTAGGTGTGTGTGCTGCTGCTAAGCACATCTGGTGACATAGAATTATTCATGGAATCGCTCACAAAGCTGCTTTCCAGTCAACAGAAAAAAGCCACCTCCATCTTCTCACCACACACATTTGAAAAGAGCAGATTCCTGTCACCTGCTATGTGTTGGAGAGGGGTGGTGACAGAAGCAGCCCCAGGAAGAGGCCCATGCTCAGGCAGGTGCTTTGGATGGAGTGGCAGCCTCCCCAGCCTAGGATATACAGGGGCTGGGAGCAGTACATGGAGGGCCTGAGGTGCTCTCAAAACAAAGCAGGTGCTAGAAGGGCTAGAACAAACAGCTGGGGTTGGACAGAGATTCTAGAATTTGCTTTTTTAGGAGGCACATCTCTTACAGACAAAGATTCAAAACATCTGTTGTCTTTTGGCTCTGGAAGTCCTTTCTAGTGACAAGAAGTCTCCTTTGTAAGCGGGTCATGTTTCTGCTGTACCCCTGAAAGGTTTCCATCAAGGGTCTGCCTGGAATCCTTTGCTTGCTCTTGGGGATCCCATGGGGTCCTCATGGCCAAGCTCTGTGGCAGTACTGTGCTCTGATGGCCATTGTGAAGAGTCTCTAACCCCACAGGCTCCCACCCACAGAGGAGATTCTAGCAATGAATCTCCCCACAGACCCTAGAGTCTTTCCCCAAACAGCAAGGAAGAGATGAACCAGGCTGAAGGAAGCCCACGGCTGCAGAAGTGCCTGGGCTTCTTTGCCGCTTGACCCACAAGGAAGAGTTGTCAGAACTGTCCTGCCTGATGGAGACTGGGGAAAGAGACAGGGTTGGGGTAAGGTAGGAAATTGACACTAAATCCATGGCCAGCCTCAGGAAGGTCACAGAGAAGGTCCCTTGAGGATCCTGAACAGCTGGGGGAAGGATGAGAGGGCCCAAAGCCAGGCAGAGCAGCACTGTTGCACGCCTCCAGCTTCTGGCCCACCCCAGGCCTGGACAGGCACAACTTTTCCTTGATACTGCTGGGGCCAGGAGGGTGGGGACCCAGAGAGTGTCCTTCCCAGACTGCTGGCTTATCAAGAGGCTTCACGGACAGGGGCAGATGTTCAGCCCCCTCATGTCTGACCAGTTGCTCTTCCCAGCACTTGGAGACTGAAGCCCAGGTCAATAGGACAAGTCACAAACCACCATCAGGATGAAGGCCAAGGAAGCACGGGACATGCATATATACATGAGGAGGTTTGTCCTTTTCCCTTAAATTGTCAGAGTGGGTGGGGCAGTAAAACAAGGTGAGAAAGAGGGTCTTGTAACAAAATATTCTCCTCCAGTTGCCTCCAAAAGCCTGAGAGCCCAGGAGCTCCCAGTGCTGGGTCCCACTGAGGCAGCGCTGCAGAAGAGCCTATTAGCCAGATCACACTCCACTCACCTGCAGATTTCTCTTTGTCCCCAGGAGGATGGTGAGGCCCAGGGTGACAGGGTCCTGGGGACTGGAAGCAACCCTGTGGGGAAGGGTCCTCTCCTACCCTCACCAATTAACACTTCACCTGAGGAGTTGGGTTCAGAGGGGCTGGGGCAAGAAATGAGGACATTTTACAGCGGTGATGGGAGGAGAGGATGGAGAGAAATGAAGGACTGTCCTGGGGAACAGGCTCGGCTGGGGACAGACCTAGAGGCTTGGTGCTCATACAGAGAGGAGGGGAGGGGTGAGGAGGAGATATCAAGAGGGTAAAACCAGGGTACTGCGGGGAGAAGCTCCCAGGAAGTAACATAAGAAAATCAACCCCCTGCCAAGGCCCTTCAAACCCCCAGGCCAGGGCTGGGGATTTAGCTCAGCGGCACAGCGCCTGCCTGGCAAGTGCAAGGTAGTGAGTTCGATTCCCGGTACCGGAAAAAAAAAAAAAAACCCAGGCCAACCCACATGTCTGGCTGCAATCTTGGAGGAGCCCACGAGGTTGCCATCAGCATCCAGGACATCAATCCCTTCCTCCAGTTCCCCGTACCGCATCAGGACCACGTTGCAGATATTGGCACTGGCTGGAGAGAGAGGGGTGCAGGGAACAGGTGTGAGGGGGAGAGGGCATTCCACCCGGGGGCGGTGCCAGCATCCTGCCCTGCCACAACAGTTCTCAACAAACGCCAAGGCTGCAAAGATTGGAGGGAGGTGTGGTTGCCTACCGTGCTGGTGAAGGATTTCAGGACCCTTGGGAACACGGTGAGCAAAGATGGGAAACAACAGGTGTTAGTAGAGACCATTCAGGGCTTAGAGAACCACCACCTATAAAAGGTGCTGCTTTCTTTTTCTCCAGGGCAGCCCTGTGGGCAGGCAAAGTGGATGCAGATCTGGGGGAGCTCCTGGCCACAGGACACATCCTCTTGAGGCCTGATCTTCCACCGTCAGTGACTCAGCCCCTTGGGCTGCCCTATCCTCTTGAAATGCCAGTCCCTACATTCAGTCCCTCATGCTCCTCAGAGCGAATAAAGTTCCCAGGGATTTGCATCTCTGAGAGCAGGTGCCAGAACAGGCAGGAACCTCAGTGCTCACCCAGCACCACCCCCTCATCATATGTATGAAAGACTGAGGCTCAGAGAGGGGGATGACTGAATTGAGGTCACACAGCAAAGTGCAACAGAGCAGAAAGGCTATGGTGCCTAAACCCCAGATATTCAAAAGACAGAAGGGAGTGGAATTCTTCCAGTGGGTGCATGCCCTCGTTTGCCCATGTGCCTCCCTATCTCAGCTGGGGTCTTGAGGACCCGGACTGAGGCACAGCTCCTGGCTCCTCACTTACGCATTGGACACAGAGCCTGTGGGCCCCACCAGTTGGCCACTAACACAGGGTAGCTCGCCCTGTTCTCCTCTCCCAGGACTTGGGAGGCCAGGCCGGGGCTCTTGGTGGGGTGCAGTCAACCTTGTCCTGAACTCCTCCAGCTCTGCTTTAGAATGGAAGTGGGGAGGTTTGGGGGTGGCAGGCGGGTGGGAAGTGGGGGTGACAAATGCAGAGCCCGCCTGCTTCACTCCTCCCCCCAAAGCGCCTTGCTGTGTTTAAAGTTTTAATTTTTGCTAATTAATGTCAATTAATTTTGTATAATGAGTGTTTAATTTTGGGGAGTGTGTGAGCCTGGGAGCGACTGCAGTTCTGGGCTGTGAACGCTGATTAGCATCAACACCTGCTGCTTCCCCCCCTCCAGTGGGGGGGCGCCCGGCTTTGGGGAGCTGGAGGGCGGCGGGGCCCAGTGGGCAGGCGGAGTAGGAGGGAGCCCACAGATGCTCCTGGGGCCCAAGCCAAGGGCCAGGGAGCCTATGGCTTTGGATGCTGACAGTTGGGGGTCAGGACTCTGCAGGTGAGGGCTAGCTTGAGACCCCGGTGTCTCTGAGGCCATCTCTGTTTCAGGGAAGTGGGGAGGTGGAATAAAGCGAGGCAAAGACTGAGAGGCTCTGCAGTCTTTGGAGAGGAAAAGCAGGAGAGCAAGTAGAGCTCTGAAATGTATTTAGAGCACATATGCCATCTTTGAGTGTCTACTGTTGCCACACGACACTGCACAGTGCTAACCGCGGGCAGACTTCTGGGGCTGGGGCGGGCGCAAGCCTCTGCCCTTCCTGTTCCCACAGCAGGCGCACTCACCTGTTATAAACAGTGTACAACCAGGTATGATTCCGAGGAACATTTGGTCCTATCTGGAGATGTTTTTGATTGTCATGATCTGGGAGTGGGGGTGGAGTGCTGCTGGCATCAGTGGGCAGAGACCAGGGGCGCTGGTAAATGCCCTTCGATGCACAGGGCAGCCCCTCAGCAAAGGGTTACCCGGCCCCCGACGTCAGCAGTGCTGACATGAGAAGCCTTCCCTCTGCACCACAACCAGAGGGAATTAGGAATGTGAACCCGAGGTAAGAGAGATTCGGGCAGCAAAAAATGACCTGGAGGAGGGCTTGGGAGCCCGGGTTTAGGGCCATATGGGTTTAGCTTACAGTCCTGCCTCTGATCTCTCCCTGCTCACCCCTGGAAGCGAGCTCCTGTTCGGATGCTCAGAGACCAGAAGTTTCCCCCGCCTCCCCCCCCCGCTGGGGGTGGGGGCTTTGGGAAGTTGGCACCTGGCCTCTATGTTAGTGACGTGCCCTCTAGTGGTAGTAGGGATGCTCTACATACTCCATGCCCTTGGGGGCTGCCGGGCCCTCAGTTCCCAGGAGACCAAGAAAACCACTGAAGGGGAAAGTGGGGTTTTCTGCCCAAGGCATCAGTTCATGCCCTCTGAGAATGTCTTCCACTGCTACCAACACTGCTTCAGAAAAGGCAGTTACAGAACTGTGGCCCAGGGACTGAGCACACCCTGAAGGCCAGAGGCCACCACTCCTGGTCCTGGTGGTCCTTCCCAAATGCAAAGGGAGAGGCACCATTCAGGTTCCCGTGGGTCTCTGGGTGTAGGGTGCACACACAGAATGCCAGCCTCTGCACCTGTGCCCAGGCCAGGGCAGAAGTGGGGACAGCTGAATCGTCTCTAGCCCCCGTTTTGTATGTGTGGGTGGAAACAGAAGAGACGTGCACTTGGAGGTGGTGGTGGGCCAGCTCATCTTGCAATTTCAAAATGTGGAATGCAGGGGTAGTGCAACCCAGCAGAACCTGGTCCAAGCACAAAGCCATGTTAGACAAAAGATGAAGCACAAAAGGAAGTGAAACCCACCCTTCTTCCTTCCCCTCAGATGGCCTCTCTAGAACACTACTAGGGATGACAATGCCCCTCTCTTCTCTAAATGGCCTGGATGAAAAAAGATAGAGAAAACCCTGACCACTTCAGAATGATGGCGACTCCCAGGGTCCTCCCTGGTGGCGCATGTCCTATCATCTCCTCCGTTGACTGTGTACATTGCTGCTTCATTTATTGAGCACCTCTGAATGTACAAGCTTCTAGCCACCCAGCCTTTGAGCAGTGAGAACACCAGCCTGTGATACTTCATATCCACCACGTCATCAAGAACTTTTGATTCTGCCATACAGGTCCCTTTCAAACCTCCCCAGGTCCATCCCATCCTACTCCTGGAAGTCCATCTCCCAGACGTGACACTCAGGCCCAAAGGAGGGGAGGAGAGAGAGAGACAGAGAGAGACAGAGAGAGAGAGAGACAGAAAGAGAGACCAGAGAGAGAGAGAGAGAGAGAAGAACCATGATGGAACCACGGGTCTCCTTTCTGACACACCAGCATTTCTACTATTGACAGTATCAGCGGGTTAATTAAGCAGTCTGTTAGTGATAATGTTAAGAAAGCTGGCACATTTTCAACTTAGATTGACACCATTCAAGACTCAGGCATAACTGATGTTGGAGCAGCAATGCAAGGAGTTGGAGAGAGAGACAGAGACAGAGAGAGACACAGACACAGAGAGACAGAGACAGAGAGAGAATGAGTTACTTCGTGCTGATGGCAAGCTCAGTGTCAAGTCCTCAGAAAAACATGCTCTTGACTGCTGCAGATATTCTCACAGCCAAACTGATGCAAAGTCATGCAGATTGTGAGCAGCTAAGGAAGCATCTAAAGCAAAAGGAATGGTGTGGGGAGAAAGAAAGAACAGTAGACAAATGTGCAGGGAAGTTCCCAGGAGGGAGTTTGCAGGGGAGCTCAGCCATGAGCCACTACAGAACGGACAGGTAGGTCAAAGCTGGGGACCGGTCCAGCAACACACACACCTGCACCAGAAACTGATGGGGAAAAGGAACATTGAAACACACGGGTGCAGCAATGGGCTACTGACTTGGGGAAAATAAGATAGCATAACTCCTCGACTCTAAGCTGTATTTTCCTGTATTACAATTTTGTGCACGTGGGGTACTGAGGTTTGAACCTAGGAGCCCTCTACTACTGAGCTACACTTCAACCCTTTTTATTTACTATTCTGAAATAGGATCTTGCTAAACTGCCCAGGCTGGCCTTGAACTTATCCTCTTCTTGTCTCTTTTCCTGAGTAGCCAGGATTACGGGCATGTGCCACCACACCCAGCCCCTGCACCTCAATGTTTTAAAATTCATGATGTACCTTACAAGGGCTGTTGGGGCCCCAAGGACGGGGGGATCTTACCTGCTGCCTAACTCAACTATCTGTACCTGTGTAAACTTCGCCAAGAGTAGAGGCATCTCTATTCAAATGTCACCTCAGCCGACCATAGCAATCCACACAGAATTTGAACTTAAACTTAGATTCCTAATTGTTGCCTAAAACATCTTTTTAAAACTTACACTATAATGGTGCACGGACATGAAAAGTTATTGTACATGCAGAAGATCGTCTGCCAGATACCAGGCAATGCAATTAAAGGCAGTAGAAATTGCCAAACCATAGATAGCTACCCTAAAGAAATGCTTGCCCATATGCACAAAGAGACATTTACAAGGATGTTAATTATAGCACTGTTTGTAAGAGCAAATAATTAGAAACAACCTAAATGTCCACCATTAGGGAACTCACATGGGAAGTTCTCCAAAACAAATTGTTATGTGAAAAAAGCTACTGAGTGTGTGCATGATGATTTACTATATGTAAAACCCTGTAATTGGTATACACACATATATGTGTGCATAAATCCACAGGTAATGTTTTGGAAGGCTCGTGCCTTGCAGATTGCTGCCCTTGAAGAAGTAAACTCAATTTGAGACTTAGAGGTTATTGAGAGACTTCCACTTTATTTTACATGAAATTTTTCCATATTATTTGAAGTTTTACACTATGAAGGTGCTTACCTAAAAACCTATTTTAGAAATATAGCAGTCAAGACCTATTTTAATCCACATTGTAAGAAATGGGAAACTGGGAAAATATATTATGTATGATAAACAAAGGGCCCTGATACTAAGCGATGGAGGGTAATGATGACTGACTCCTAAGAGCTGGTCTACCCCACACACAATTAGTCCAAATTAATTGTGATAATCTTCCCCTTGCCAATGACTGGTCTAGGAAGGGACACATGACCCAGCTCTAGCCAATGAAGGACATCTTCTGAGGATCCTGGGAAAAGTTTCTTCCCATCTAAGAAAGGGTAGTGAGT